GAGAAGCCGGCGCCGGTGGACACGGGGGTGGCGGAGCCGCCCGCCGGCGGTGTCTCCCGGCAGTCAGATCCCCGTCTCCTTCCCGCCGCGCTGAGAGGCGAGCAGCGCTGCCCGTCCGGCGGAGAACGAAGGGGAGCGGGGCTGTGCCGCGGAGCCAGTGGAGGGCAGCCTTTCTTGCTGCTGCTTGAGGGGGCTGCAAAATCCTGCTGCATCGCGTGTGCTGTGGTTTAAGTCTGTTGGATTTCTTGCCGTGTATGAAATCAAATGAAGAAGTTCAGGCTCTGGAGAAGTAGGTCCGTTTGAGTTCAGTGGCTGCGATTAGCTAGTACTAGTCAAACAATGCAATGATTCTGCTGTGTGTCCCTCTAAAATCTACTAGGGCCTGTTGGAGTGACTGCTGTGGTTCAGGAGGCTACAATCCTCTTGTCAATACATCCTGTGCACTGCTAGGTATTCAGGCGACTGAACTTTTAGACTTTAATGAAAGATGGGCTTGTTTAAATGCTGGATGAAGATAGTTTGTCTAAGTATGGGACGATTACTGTATTAATCATATGTAGAAGCCCTTTTGTTTAAGGATCAAGTTATTTCAATATTATGCAATAAAGAGTAACTAATGCTGTTATTATATATGGAACTTGCAATACAAACTTCCTGCTTCCAAAGTCTACACGTCCCATCACCTACTTAGTAAGTCATCATAATTTGACTTAAATCCCTGTGATAATTCCCACTGTGGAAGTGGAATAGAGGTAATGCCTAGGTGCAAAATGTCAAATGTGCAGTGTTGAACTGGAAAGATTAATGCCTAGGCAATATCTTGGGTTTCTTTTTTTCTTCTTCTTCTTTTTTTTTTTTTTTTTTTTTTTTTTTATAATGCCTTCCCTCATGCAGAATGTTCTTTCATGAAGCAGGAGACTAGAATATCTTCTTGACCTGTGTTACCATTATTACTCAATATCACGACCTTGATGGGTTTGTCAAATGACAAAACACAGATCTGGGGGTGGAGGGAAATTCCAAACTGACAAATGACAGCAGGAGGCTATCTTGAATGCCAGTCAGGAGTCTGTTTTGGAAAAGAATTTGGAAAAGTTCCCTGCAACATCTGTGGATAAGTTCTATTGGCTTTACATGTATTCCAGGTTAACTTTTTTCTTAGCCTAAAAGGATAACACTAGTAGAACTAAAAGAGGCACTGCAAGCATTAAATTTATACTCAAGATCTTTTTGCAAGTACCAGTTCTTGTAATAAGGAATGCCTTATACTAGATGCATTCATCAATGGCTTGTGTACAGTCAGGTTTTTTTCTGTCTACATGGGGTACGTTTCCTCTGTGTGAGGATTCAGATGCTCACACAAATAAGAGGCCATAATTCTTCCCTTAATTTTTTAGGAAAGTGTGATATGTCTGTCACTCCTCAGTTCTTCTTTTATCCATCTCAGTTTTTTTCAATTAATTTCAAAATAGGTGTTGTCTTAAACTATTAGCATAATAAAGTTATGTGGATTTGAGCACAAAAGATACATCATCACTGAGTTAAATCAGAATGTGGAGGGAAGAAGAGGTTCTACAAAGAGTGGTGGTCAATAGAGTCAAATCCAGCTGGTGACTGGTCACAAGTGGTGTTCCTCAGGGCTCAGTGTTGGGACCATTTCTGTTTAACATCTTTATCAATTACTTTGATGAGGAGATAGAATGTACCCTCAGTAAGTTTAAAGATGACACCAACTTGGGTGGGAGTGTTGATCTGTTTGAGGGCAGGGAGGCTTTACAGAGGAACTTAAACAGACTGGATCAATGGGCTGAAGCCAGTTGTATGGGCTTCAACAAGGCCAAGTGTTGGGTCCTGCACTTGGGCCACAACAACCCCATGCAACGCTACAGGCTTGGGGAAATGTGGCTGGAAAGCTGTCTGGCAGAAAAGGACCTGGGGGTTCTAATTGACAAGTGGTTGAATATGAGCCAGCAGTGTGCCCAGGTGGCCAAGGAGCCAATGGCATCCTGGCTTGTATTAGAAATAGTGTGACCAGCAGAAGTAGAGATGTGATTTTCCCCGTGTACTCAGCACTGGTGAGGACACAACTGGAGTATTGCATCCAGTTTTGTGCACCTCAATTCAAGAGAGGTGCTGGAGCGAGTACAGAGGAGGGCAACAAAGCTGGTGAAGGGCCTAGAGAAAAAAATCATATGAGGAATGCTTGAAGGAGCTGGGAATGTTTAGTTTGAGAAGGAGGAGGCTGAGGGGAGACCTCTTCAGTCTCTACAACTACCTGAAAGGTCATTGTAGAGGGGTTGGTGCTGGTCTCTTTTCACAGGTAATCAGTGACAGAACAAGAGGGAATGGCTTCAAGCTGCAACAGGGAAGGTTTAGACTGGACATTAGGAAAAAATTTTCCCAGAAAGAGTGGTTAGAGGCTGGAATAGGCTGCCCAGGGAGGTGGTTGAGTCATCAGCCCTGGATGCGTTTAAAGTTCGTTTGGATGTGGTGTTGGTGGATATGGTTTAGGGGAAACCTTTGTAGAATAGGGATGATGGTTGGACTCAGTGATCCCAAGCATCTTTTCCAACCTGAGTAGTTCTATGATTCTATCTGCTACAAGCTGCATAAGTCATTCAGATGTATTTGGAAAATTCTGTGCTGGAAAGGAGTACCATAGTTAGAAGAGAGACTTTGCTTTGAAATATTTTAAGCCAAAATGTAATGTGGTGCTATTTTTTCCTAAATTGTTTGCTTGGCTCTCTCATTAGCTCTCACTCTTTTATTGTACTAGTTGGTTTGCGTACCTTTCTCACTTGTCTCTCTACATTATTTTTTTCTCTCATGTTTCCAGTGGTTCTTATCTTCACCAAGTCATCAGTCAAAATAAAACTGTTGATTACTTTGCATATGTCTATTCAGTAGTACAGTGCAACTGTTACCTAGTTTTTAAAGACAGAGACGTGATTTTAATGAGGTTTAAGATACCTGGGTGAAAAATTGGCTGGTCCTTTGGGGCCAGAGGGTAATGTCAACAGTTCAGAGTCTAAATTTCCTATTATGGCTGCCCAATTTACAAGTGGTGTTCCACAGCAGGCAGTAGCAAGGGTTCATGCCCTGTAGTATTTTCATCAATCGCCTGGAGAATGGTTCAGAATCATCTCTCAAGTTTGCAGATAACCACAGATCAGGAAGAACACTTGTCTGGAGTTCCAATTGAAGAATGGGCCTGGCTGAAGCTTAATGGAGCTCAATATGTTTTAGCTCTTGGGACAGAAGGTTAAGAAGCAGGTTGGTGAAAAAGTACCTAGATTCTTGCTGTACAGCAAGTTGAATATAAGTGAGCAGTGTGTCCTTGTGGTGATGAAGATTAACCACATTAAAAAAAGAGTAGCCTGTGGATCAAAGAATTAATTACTGCCATCTGTGTGGCACTGAGGAGGCAGTGTCCGGAACAATGTGTCTAAAGAAGAGAGAGTTTGAAGAACTGGATTTCATCCAGCAGAGGGTCACTAGCATGATCGCTGCGCTGCAGCCCAAGGGATACAAAGAAAGGTTGGGATATCTGGGGTAGTTTAATCACAGGAGAGTGTAAGGGTTGTCTTCAGCTATCTAACCAAAGCTTGTAGAGAACACAGAACCAGCTTTTTCTCAGATGTACATGGAAAAAGACAGCAAACAATGAATACAAATTGCAAGTGAAGTTTCAAATAGATGTCATGAAGAAATGTTCCACTGTGAGATGCTCTGGATCAGGGGCCCAGAAACCTGTGGAATTTCCATCCTTGCCAGATACTCAACACAAGTTTTGAGAGATTCTTCTGCTTACGTGAATGAAGCTATATGAGCATAGATGATAAAGAAGGACCAGAACTTAGGTGCATTTCTGTTACTGTCACTCCTTATTTACCCTCGTGTCTTACACACAATTGACATACAGTTTTAGCTTACGCTGTAGGTTTACCCTCTGGGGACCCTCATTTGAATCTTTGCTGTGCTACTTGCAAAATAAACTGTAGGGTTTTTTGAGATCTTAACTTTTCTGTTAAGTTGGGTTGAACCTGGTTAACAAATTCAGAGTTACCAGTGAGAGTACTGCTTTTTATAGCAGTGCAATTGCTTAAGGCTTGTTTTCTTAAAGATACCAAGGAGAAAAATGAGTAGGCTAAACAAGTGTACCCAGATTATTAAATTCTGGTCTAGCTGTTTTGCCAAATATTTTCATCAAATACTTGCATTTCTCATGTTCTATTTTATTTTATTCAAGAATCATAATAAAATCCACTGTAACTTATTTGGCTGAAAGTCTTGGCATCAGGAGCTAATGACCAGCTGAAACACTGTCTGATCTCTTGAAAGGGTTTTGCTGGATAAAGTCTTTCTGGCATTTCATCCAGGGACAGCAGGAATGAAAATATTCAGTGAAGTACACATACAGTGAAGTACATATACAGTACTTCAAGTTCTAGATTTTTCAGTCAGTCACAGACGTTTCTTTTTCCACCCCAGTCAAATATTTCCTTCTTCCTTCATTTCCAGAAGAAACATTCAAATAGAGTTTTATCACATTGCAAGCACTCTTTTCAGTAAACAAAAATGGTTTTAGATAAGGAAAACCTTAGTACCCATTAAACCTACCCTGTTGAGGGGAATCCATTTCACCCCTCTACTGAGGCAATGCGATCTTTTGGAAAAAAGCAAAACTTGATTGTATAGCTAAATTCTGTAGATACAGAAGAAGGATTAAAACTACCATAAATACTTCAGGTTTTCCCTAACTCTTAGCTTTTATCACTTAAAATACATTCTAGTTTTGCTTTTTATTTCCATAATCATAAGCACTTCCTTGAGGGACGAGGGAGGTCTGTTCTTTAGAAGCCTTCCAAGCAAGATTATTTCTAGGAGTGTTCTAAACTGTAGTTATTCATAAATGCTGACTGCCTGCTAATCCTAGGTAAATGCTAGACGTGGAATTATTGTTTGTAATCTTTCTCCTAGCTGAGTTGATTTCAATGCAGTTTATCATAGAATCTTAGAATATGTGGGGTTGGAAGGGACCTTTAAAGGTCATCTAGTCCAGCCCCCCTCTGCAGTGCACAGCAAGCTTTTTTACTAGATCAAGTTGCTCAGAGCCTGGCTGAGCCTGACCTTGAATGTTTCCATGGATGGGGCGTCCACCACCTCTCTGGGCAACCTGTTCCAATGCTCCACCACCCTCATTGTAAAGAACTTTTTCCTAATACCTAATCTAAATCTACCTTGTTCTACTTTAAGACCATTGCCTCTCCTCCTATCTCTATATACCCTTCTAAGCAGTCCCTCCTCAGCATTCCTGTAGGCCCCCTTCATGGAATGGAAGGCCTCTGTAAGGTCTCCCTGGAGCCGCCTTCTCTCCAGGCTGAGTAATCCCGGCTCTCTCAGCCTGTCTTCATAGGAGAGGTGCTCCAGCCCTCTAATAATTTTTGTGGCCCTTCTCTGGACTCATTCAAACAGGTCCATGTCCCTCTTGTGTTGAGGACTCCAGAGCTAGACACAGTACTCCTGGTGGGGTCCTACAAGAGTGGAGGGGCAGAATCACCTCCCTTGACCTTCTAGCCATACTTCTTTTGATGTGGCCCAGGATGCAATGAACCCTCTGGGCTGCGAGTGCACATTGTTTGCTTACGTCCAACTTTTTGTCCACCAGTACCACCAAGTCTCTGCAGGGCTAAGCTTGTTTGCCTGCAAAGCTCTAGCTGTTCTAGCTTAACAGTAATTAATGGAGATACAGCATAGGCTAACAGAAGTAGCTTTTCTACAGGCAGAGTTACATGTCAAAGCTTAAGAGTCATGGAAAGTTACTTCCAAATCTGTTTTCATTATTGTCTTTCCAGCTGTGCAGTTTCTTGCATCACTTCCATTAACCTTATATTTCTGTTTGTATTATATTTTCATACTTTGAAAACTCTTACAACTGATTGATCTGAATTATTTTCCACTAATATGATGAAGATTCAATTTAATTCCATGCAACTGTTTAAGCCCCTTCATATGATGTTATTTATTACATTAGAGACCCTATAAAGAGTTTGAATTAAGAGATCAGCCTTTGTGCTTGTCTGCTTACTTACATACAGCATGGCTAAGTAGGTCTTTCTTCTCTCCCTCACTCTTGAGATTCAAGGCTCAAGCGCTATTTCTGTGTAAGGTAATTTGCTGGGCGTGGAAAGAGGGTGTTATTTATTCCTTTAATATCTCACAAGAGTATTCAGTGCATATCTGGTGGTTTTCACTCTTCACTTTTTCACTTTTTCTATTCAAGACAGCTCTGCATATCTGAATAGCCTAGACAATTCTTTTGTGACTACTGCTAATAAAGTTAGGGCAAAAATACAAAAAGTGAGAGCTTGGTATAATAAATTGGAAACAGCTCGTAATGAATATGAAAGGAAGAAAAGCAGTGTCAGAAATAACACTTCAAACCTGTTTCAGTAGGAATGTATTTGCCTTATCTGGATTGCTCATACTTACTGTCACCTATTTCTCTCACCACTGTCCGAGAGAAACAAGGGCAGTTTGATGTGTTTTTTGGCAACAGGTTGTTGGTGGGTTTTTTGGGCTGTGGGCAGGGGAGGACAGGAAAGGAGATGAGTTTCTATTTGTTCTAATTTTTCCCTAATTAATAATCTTCTAGGTTTAAATGTAATTACGTGCTTATGTCTGGCATCCTCTCCTGTATCTGAATTTTATCTCTGTGGAACATAGTAGTGTTCTCAAGTGAAACTTTGTAATCCCTTGCCCTGTAGTACAGGGAGTGTCTGATGCTTTTGTTGAGGATGTCAGAAGCTTGTGGTTTTGTTTGTGATGGATTAGGAGATCATGTTTACCTACTTCCTTCTTTATGGGCATGAAAAATCTGTGCATTTGTATTATTGCTTGCGTTGAGAATTAATTGCCGTTAGAACAGCTTGTTTAGAAGGAGGCAAAAAGACTTGCTGTGCTAGAGCTTCACCCTTTATTATCTGTGGGTCATACACTCCAAGGTACAATGAATGACCTTGGCTTACTGAATCTCTTTTTATTTCCTGCTAACAGTAGGAACCCTTATGCACTGCCTTCTGTTTCATGGAATACTGAATGATTAATGGTGAATGATTACTGAGTGATATTTAACATTGTTAGTAGGTCAGATACAAACAGTTCAATGAAAAGTCTTCAATATTTTTTATAAAACCTTAGTAAATGTTACTGTCCTTTTGGCAGAAAAGCAATTTCAAGTAAAATAATCTTGCTGCATGCATGCAGAAATTAATCTCTCCTATTAACTATGTTGCATAGCATTTTATGCCATTATACTAGTTCCTTCCAGGCATGCAGTACTGACAGAGCTTACCCTTTTATTAGGATAGCTTCATGTCCAGCCTGAGCTGGTAGATAAAACACAAATAAATAAATATGGTAAAAAGAATTCAGTGGTGCTTTTTCTATGTAATCTTTCCAACTGGTAGCAGAAAAGGATGAACATGTACCTTTTTAAGATTTCTCCTCTGGGGAGTGGAAAAATAGCTTTTGGTATTTTCCAGAAAGGTTGTATTGTTTCCATCCTTGCAAGTTTTCAAGACCTGCCTAGAAAAAGTCCTTGGGCAACCTGTTCTTGTCTTATAGTTTACCCTACTTTGAGCAGGATGTTGTACTAGAGATCTCTCAAGGTCCCTATCAACCTGAATTATTCTGATGAAATCAAGAGTTTACAGATGAAAAGCTTTAAGAGAAATATCTAAAATTTGTGGAATGAGAAGAGAGCGTTCTACAGGAAGTCTGGAAAAGATGCGCTTGTATCCTACAGAGTCAATGGGTATAACTGAATTTTGTACCCTTAGCACAAGATTGCTTTCTACATCTGACTCTCCTTTGCTTGCCATAAAAAGATAGGATGGTATCCTATTGGCATGTTCTACAGTTCACTTGAGTCTTCTGTTAGGTTTTACTTTGCAGGTCCTTGGATGTTCTTCAAGCAAAAGATTCTGCATGATGCTAGTGAAAAAGAGCTGTTTTCATGGGAGAGTCCTCACTGCCCAGTTAGTTGCACTGACTTACTCATTGTACAATAAAGTTGGATGTTTTACTGGATTTCATCTTAGCTTAGCTGCAGGTTACTTTTGGAAACGGGCCATCAATGGTTAATGACAATTGTTGTGTATTCCAGCTTACATTCTTCTGCAAAGCAGAGCTTCTAACTTTTGATTCCTTAAGAATAGCCAGTAGTATAGTCCTTGGGATTCTCTACTCTGCTGGTTTTTATCGTAGTATATCCAAATCTAAGTCACTTTTGTGCATGTGCTTTTCTTTTTCTAAAGTAATGTGTTGCTGCAGTGACGTTCATTTCTTGTTAGATTGTTCATAAACTCTGTATTGGTAGTTTGTTTTGGAATATACTAGGTTCTGCCTAGGTGCTTTTACTTTCTTCACAGTTTATTCCCTTTTGTGATTTCTAAATTACAAGTGATTTTCTCTTAATCGCTCATCCTAAAAGTGAGCTAACCCAAGAAAAGGCACAGCTCTGGCATTAAAGTATCAGAGCAGGTACTAAAGAAATGTGGGTATTTTACTGAGACATAAGTTCTAAAAATACATCATTAGTTTAATTTCTACAACCTTCACAAGAAAAAAAATATTTCTTTTTCAATCCACCAAGGAAAAATAAAAATAAGTTATAATTGACAAAAAAGTTTTCAAAAATATTTTTTTCTCACCTTAATTACAAAAATTCATATATCTGAACCCAGGTTATATGGATATTTGGGTTGATGATAGAAATTGACTGTCAGTTATCATGGTGCTGTATTTGTTCAAAACAATTCATGTCAACATGTTGTTCTTTAAACTTCTGTGTTCATAGAAAATTCCATTGTGTAATTTATCTGCAGGTTTTTAATGCGAAAACAGCAGAGCTTTTGAGTCACCATCAAGTTGAGTTGCAGCAGAAATTCCCAAAAGAAGGGTATGAATTTTCTGTAGTTTTCTATTTCTTTGTGTACATTTTGGTAGAGCTTATGTATTTTAATCTAGGAATTGTGAAAACTGAAGTTGATTAATAATAATTAAGAACATAGTATCTGCTATGAAAGACTGTGAGGTAGGAAAAATTACATTACAGACTCCACAATGGGTGTCTAGTGTGTCTTCTGGGTTATGCAAACTAAAAAATACTTGTGTTTTACTCTAAGGACTCACTAGCGTATTTAAAGTTCAAACAAGACTTGGTCTTATTTAAAGTGGTACAGCTGATAATTTTTACAATTTAATCACAGTCATCATCTTAGTCCATAGAAATTGTACATTTGTTCTCTGAGGTGTTTCTTTTGTTTGTTCTTAAAGACCTACCATTTACTGCCAAAACCCTCTGTATTGAATAAACAAAAAAAAAAATATTTTTTTTCTGCAGATGGTTTTGGAATGGAATACAAGTTACTGTTTAAGAAGGGTTTGAAATTCAATATACTTTTTGTAGATATGGAAAACACACTTTCTAGTTATTGTATCAAAATGCTCAGCTGGTTATTCAGACTAGTTGTTGTTTTTTTTTCCTTTAAATGTAATTTTTTTCTTTTTATTAACTGGTATTTACTGTTTGTTAAAGATGGGTGGAACAAGATCCATGCGAGATATTAAAGTCTGTCTATGAATGTGTGGAAAAGACCTGTGAGAAACTGCAACAACTGAACATAGACATCTCTAACATAAAAGGTATTCCTAGTACTTAAGTGTAACGGAGGGCTTTAACAGACTCACGGTTGAACAGGACAGATTTTGTAGTTTTTAAGACAATAAACAGGTGGAGCATGTGCTGGCCTCAAATAAAACCTTGAATTGGAATGGAGAGCAGTTTCTTTGGGAGGAATAATGAAAAAAGAAGCCCATTGTGTATATAAATCTACAAAGTAGACTTAACGCTAATCTTGCAAAATCACAGAGACAAGTGATGAATGAGGAAAATCTGAAATCTCTGGGAAAAGCTAGTTACCCTCTCAGTTAGATGATCAATATTTAGAAGTAATATTTTTAGATTATAACATGAAAAAGTTGGAAGCTTTTTATTTCCTGTTTGCTTTCGTCTTCTCCTTACGTGTTCCTCCACCTCTCCTTTCCCTTCCTTACCCCCCAAAAGGGGAAAACAAACCTTCTGAAAAGGATACTTCTTTCTATTTTGTCCTGAAGCCATTGGAGTCAGCAATCAAAGAGAAACAACAGTGGTTTGGGATAAGACAACTGGAGAACCTCTTTATAATGCTATTGGTAAGTACAGTATTTTCTGAATATGTAATACCATAAAATGAGCATGTTTTAGAAAAATGCTTTCTTGGTTTCCTGGGCAGATACTATTATGGCCTATGCCACTAACTTATTTGGGTTTTTTTGAGATCTGTGTCATAAGCCGTGTGTTTGTATGCACCACTGCAATTTTTAAAGGCCTATTCTATTAAAATTATTAGTTAATAGCTAATAAATTGTTTCATGGGCTTTTAACAAAAAACAATGTTCCTGAGGGGTTTTGTACATCCCTGGTGTGTAATGACATATGCCCAGTCACTTCCTTTTAAATGAAAGAGCTTACTAAATTTTCAGAATGCTTTTGATTTAACAGTATAGGAAAAACGTTAAGTAGGCTTAATGAATGCTTACTGATTTGGAGTTTTATTTTTAACTTACCTTGGTTTTTCAGATTAGGTCAGATGAGAAATGGAAATTGTCTAGCTTTGCTCTTTTGGGCCATTGTCAAGTGCCAGATTTAGTTTAGCATAGGATCACTGGAAAAACAGGACTGCTTCTAAATTCAAATACATGGTGTTTACAGCTTTAACTTAAGCCCAGCTGTACCTTGTTAATCTGACACAGCACTTCAGTTCAAAGTTTTCACAGAGTTAGCAAATAATCAACCTCCTATTTCTTTTAACCTCCCAGTTTAATAACAGCATCTTCTGTAAACAGAGCTGTGTTGGTCATTTGCTTATGCTCTGGTAGAGGAATGTATTTGTTCTTCTAAATCAAATGAGTTTATCTAACCATTTCTAGTTTTTGCAACAGTGTATTAAAAATACAATGGCAATACAGTATTCTTACAACTACATGAAAAGCTAAAAATAAAGTCAGGAATTTACTGGCAAAAGCTCTAGTTTTGTAGAAGAAGATTGTACATGTCACTTTTTGTGTGTTACCTCAGTTGGTCAGTAAATTTTATTTATGTTTTTAGTGTGGCTTGACCTGAGAACCCAGTCAACAATTGATCGGCTTCTTAAAAAAATTCCAGGAAAAAACAAAGCCTGTTTTAAGGTAAGAGATATTCCAGAACATTTAAATAGCAGCTGAATTCTTATTGCTGCAGTAAATAATGTTTTGGACATGAGTGCTTAAAATTGCCCAAAACAAAGTCAGGCAGTTGTAGCTTCTGGTCCCTTCTTAGCTTGAAATATAACCAAAAAATTGCATAATACTATATTACAGATCTGAGACTGGAAAATATTTTTTTCCTTAAATTAAGTCATTAATACTTCTTATATATCTCATTAAAGAGTTTAAATGAGTAATTGTTTGTGGCACTTAAACATGTGCTACCTATCCAATGACAAGTAAACATAATTTTTGTTGTCACTACAAAAAGGTAAAAGATTGCCTAGTTGTTTGGAGATAGCCTAGATAAGTCAAACCTTCTGCAACATCAGTGATCTTTGAACTGCATTTAGATTAGCTTTAATCCTTGTCCATTAATGCATGGGTCATTTGTTTTTTATATTTTCAGTCTTCTGTATTGTATGATTAGTACTTATTTATATAACAAGCTTGTCTAATTTCTCTGAGTTTTATGTCTTTGGGGTTTTTTTTTGCTTATTATCACCATTTATTTTAAATAACTACAGTATTCATGGAAAATATAGTTGCATGGTCTTTATTTTTATTTTTTTTTAATTTACAGTCTAAGACTGGCCTTCCACTTAGCACTTATTTTAGTGCAGTGAAACTTCGGTGGCTTTTAGATAATGTGGAAGAGGTTAGGCAAGCAGCTCAGGATGGCAGAGCTCTGTTTGGGACTGTTGATTCATGGCTTATATGGGTATGTATTTGTGAGTTTATTATCATTGCTTTTAAAACTAATTTCCATTTCACGCAAATTTCTGTGCAAAGTACTGTGACACATCATGCCCTCATCCCATAGTAATGTTGATATACGCCACTGAAGAAATTCTACTCAAGTTCCTTACAAAATGAACTTTTAGTGTTCCTGCATCACTTTTTATAAAGTTTATGTGTAGTTTACCATTTATAGGTTGCTATAAAATTTCTCTCATGCTTTTGGAAAAATCTTGTGTATTAGCCACCATTACAAAAGAAGAATCCAGGAGGCACTGCTGACCCGTTATTACCTTTCTCATACTTTTTTTCCACTAAATCAGGTCTGCCTCTTTAGTTGTTGCATGAGCATCAGAGTTCCCAGTTCAAAGCTAAAAGCTTTGTGAATGTAGGAATATTTTTCTGGTAATTTGTTGACATAAACCTGTATCTTTTCCTGCCAAATACTGTTACTTTTTTTGTTCAGAGTTTGACAGGTGGAAAGAATGGAGGCATTCACTGTACGGATGTAACCAACGCCAGTAGAACAATGTTGTTCAACATTCATTCCTTGGAATGGGATCCTGAGCTCTGCAAGTAAGCTCAGTTTTTCAGTAATACAGTATTTATACAGATAATGAGTGATGCGTAAAGAAACTCATTTAATAGTGAGAATCTCTTACCTAGATTAAAATCAGCAGTTACTGTTGTATTTACTGTTAACATTAATAAAGATTCATTGTTCTCCAGATATCCAAATAACTACTGTCTGGATTAATTAAAAGTAGCAGAGCCTTGATTTTTTTCTGTAGGTGGAGGACTGGTTTAATTGTTTATTCCTTACTCAAATTTGTAAGATGGTTACAGCCATAGCATCTTTATTTTAAATTTAAATGTACTAATAACAATATTATAAACATATTTTTGTAAGAGAAACTACTTCCCACATGAAGGAGTTGGGTACATCTTCAGAATATTCAAATATATGCTGTTTTACTCCATAATTCAGTGTCAAGTACTGTAACAACTGGAAAAACATAGTGATGGATTAAACTCTAGAAATCAAGGTTCCATTGATAAGGTTTTTCTTTATAGCCTAAACTTATTTAAGGAAAAAAAAATGCAAGAGGCTTTCTGATTTAGCACCAAACTTATATATAAATTATTTTCTATTGTGTTCAGATTCTTCGATATTCCTATGAAAATGCTTCCAAAAGTACGAAGCTCCTCTGAGATTTATGGCCTGATGGTAAGTTTTCTTCTGTGAGTGTGAAGTTAATCTTATAAAAATATAATCAATGTCGATTTGATAGATGAAGACTAATGGCTTTTTCTAGACCAGTACTGTCTGATTTGTGATTAGTATATCATTATCTACTGCTGTGTAATGTTGCCTGAAATTAAATACCTGTTTTTTTCTCCTTGAAGTGTCAAATAGACAAAACAAGATGGGAGAGGTTTTTCATTAGGATAAAAAAATATATTCTTACAATTACTTATTGATTTCAAAACTAACTGTCAGAATGTAATGTGTAATCAGTAGATTAACTGTAGGAGATCACAGTTATTAGAGTACAGTATTTTTACTCTTGTATAACTGAAGAGATTAAAGTTGCTGTGAAAGTTGTCATGATCTAAGAAGACTGGATGAGATGTGTTGTGGCAAGATTAGCCACTTTCTGTGAACTGGAAAATCACAAGTGACACCTTAGATTGCTTTCTTTTTGAAAAATAAACTGCTCTTGCCATGTGTATGTATGTAGCACTCAGTAAAAAGAAACATTTTGGAATATTGTGATGTCTTTTCAATCACACTGCTTCCAGTGCAGGTGTGAATATTACTTAGGAGTTAATTATTACTATGGGTCTGAAGTTTCTAGTTTACTTTGATGCAGCACCAATTCTTCTGGTAGAGTGGCATCTAATTTATTCTTAAAAACTTCAGAATCGGATAAAATGGATGTTGTGATTTTGCATTATTTTTCCTGTTAAGAGTTTTGCCCTATTGTTTACTAAGAACATACAGACACTTTGTAGTTAAGACAAATTATGAGCTTTTTATTTAAAGTACAACTCTAACTTGCCTGAAATCTAAGTGTTTTTTTAATATCTTAATGGAGATGCCACTAGAAGTCATTGCTGACTTTTATTAATGTGGAGGTCAGATGATAGTGAGTTGTAATAAGCTGAATGAGTGATGTAAATGGAAAAAGATGTACCTGTCAATTGAAACAGAGTAGCTGGTCACTTTAAATGTGAACTTTTCTTTCTTTCCCCCTTTTCCTTCCTTTTCTTTTTTTTTTTCCTCTTGCTGACTATAGAAAATCTGTCCTAGTCTGGTGAGTAGCTTCTGTTAGGCTAATCACTTGTATCTTATCCATTCTGTTCAGACACTGTACATTTCCAGTGGTTTAAGGATTAGAAAACAGACACTTTTGAGACCAGTAAGTTTGGTTGGTATCTCCAAATCTGAGATACTACAATTAGAGTTTATGCCAAAGTTATTTCTAAAAGTAACCTTGATATATGAATTTGCCATAATTTGCAGGATATGTAATAGTTCTTTTCATAGTGAAGTAAAAAATGCAGCTACTGGCTAATAAATGTTGGCTGTCTCATTTTATAAATGAGAAAAGTGATCCACTCTGTCTACAGATATTAATTCTATTATAGCGGAACACTATTTATAAACTCAATTACCTTAAATCCAGTTCATTAAAAACAGAATTAAAGAAAAAAAAATTCAGATTGGAAATGTACTTGCATGGCTTCACTGGAAATGCATTTTCACAACTGCACAAAGAAACAATTTATAAAAAGAGGTAAAAATTGTCAGGGTATAAACTACTTGTGATACCTATTGCAAGAATGCAGCTGAAAAACTATGTGATAGTGTTTGGAAGAAATTCTATATGAGACTTAAAATACTTTATCTTACAATGAGGCATCTGTCTTTCCATAGTGTTTCATCACAATCACATTTTTTTCTAGTCACTTTACCATTTTTGCACTTCTGCATTTTACACTTGACTCTGTACAGGTTACACTGAGCCTAATTTTTGATATGCTATGTTTTCAACAAAATTTATGTTAAGAACTGTTGACGTGACATAAAGTATACCTGCAAATTTCCCGCTTTGTTTTAGTGTTTTAGGCATGAGCTGCGTTAGTCTGAAATCCCATGTAAACCTGAACTGAACTGTGTTGCTTATGTGGCACTTTGTTTTCCTTTGAGCATTACAAGTTTATTTTCTTTTTCATTGTCTTTAACTGTCATGGAAAGCTAATTTGGAACTTTTCTTTCCCCTTTTGCAAATCAGAAATCTGGAGCTTTGACAGGTGTACCAATTTCTGGGGTAAGTGCTATTTCAACACAGATTTTGGCATAAGAACCTGATATTGTATTAATGTGTCTTCACTGGCAAAAGCTCTGAGATGCATGAATCCTGCTGCAAATCAAGTTGATGTTTTTTTACTTCAAGTTAAATATGAAATAAACTTGAAGTTTAATTATTAATTGACTGGATTCTTCACTATTAACTTATGGTCTGTCTGTGTAAATACAGCTGACATCTTTAATGCAGATGTGTAGTGCTGTGGGAAACTTGGGATCTCTAAGTAAATAAGTAACATTACAAAATGGAAACAAGCTCTGCTTTGTATATAAATAGAGTTCAGTATATATATAAAATCTGGAAATGTTGGGCAGATTCTCAGGTTTTTTTCAATACAATATGCATGAAGATAACAAATTTTAATTTTTATTTCTTTTAAGTTGTGCACCATAAGTAGCACAACATACTTCATTTGCAGTTCTTATGAAAGGAAGAGTAGTAAAAAGCACAGGTTTCTCTAGAAATTTTTCCTCATTTTCTATTACCTGCATGCTCCTAACACACTGGAGTTAAATACATCTTTTCATGTTCCTTTTTTATGCATGTGATTCATGGGTGAACATTTGCTTAAAAATATATCTTTGCAGTGCTTGGGAGACCAGTCTGCTGCTCTTGTTGGGCAAATGTGTTTTCAAGATGGGCAGGCAAAAAACACGTAAGTTATTATGGAAGTTTTAAGATACACAGTACATCACTGTTCTGTTTTGAATTTAATATGATGTTCTCTTTCAAGCTAACCGCCAAATGTTCTTGTAGTTACCATATAACTACAGCTCTACCTTTTGACTCAATTGACCTGCAAAGCAAACAATATTCTGACTTTTATATAAAATAGTAAAGATAATAAAGTTAAGTGTTTTGTGAGGTATGTTTTAGAACAAAGTCACTGTGAGGAAATATATCTGTGTGACAGGATATTTTTAATGTTAAAATTCTCCAAAACACAGATTAAAATTCTTGCAGTATCATTTTAATTGTAAACTGAAGTTAAACAAATACAGGCTGTGTGAGTTAGATTACATAGACTTGAATGACAAAAGTCCCACAGCATTGGTAAGATGGGAAAGGTTCATTTCAGTTGCAGTGCTTAGTTTTGCTTCTGTCTAGCTCAGTGTGGAGAATTTGGGCTTTTTCTATTTCTCAGCCTCTTAATGTGTTGTTTAAAATAACTGATCAGTTAAATCAGTCAGATGGTATATTCAAACATTCATTTGAGGAAAAGCTCTCTGCTTAAATGTTTTACTGTTCCATTTACAACCTTGTGCTTAACTGAGCATGTACACAGTATTGGACTTTCACAGATTTAATTACACATTAATCTATACTTGTTGCTAATTAACCTTCGCTTTATCTTTTATATTTATACACAAATGTAATGGCTAGTAGCCTTGTATTTTAGTAAAACAAACATGATTCTAAGTAATACTGTCACAAAGAATTATTATAAAAGATACTTTTATAATACAAGAAACCTTTTGAAAAAAATCTAGCTAAACCAAAAGCTACATGTGAGATTTTTAACCTATTTGTGTTATTGTTTTGCCCCTTTTCCCTCCACATATAACTGAAGACTTTATCAGTTCTATTTTAAGCTATTAAAATTTTAAGGGTATTAAAAAAGTAGAGACCTCATAATTTCTTAGAATAAAAATGGATTGTAAATGTTTTGTACTCCTTTTATTAAACTGTGTCCTTTCATGTGTGTACGCACACATACATATGATGTCATCTTCAAATTAGAAACATGCCATTTTTAGAAACAGTTGAACTGAATATGTTTAAAGAAAACCCTTTTCATTGTGATAGAAGCAAAGTTTCATAAATTTTCCCCTTTAAAAGCTTGGATTTAATATTATGAAATATTTATCTTATAAAGAAGCTTTCATAATTAGCTTACATTGAAGTAGATAAACTGCCACCGAAGAGGAATGCACACTTAGTTTTCAGCCATATCTGCCCCTTCCTTGGGTATTCTGGAAGTAATAGCCAGAGACAGAGGTGTAGGACTGGATTTTTCAGCTGCAGGCTGCATTTTAATTAGATTTTTGAGGATGGTTTTATCATCATGACATAACCTTCAAGGGGCAGAAAGTGGTGTCTTGATTTTCCGCAGGGGAGTCACGGATTCATGAACTGTAGTAGCAGGTTATCCTTTAAACATTCTGGTTTTAACTTTCCTTTGCTTTCATGCTAGGTATGGAACAGGATGTTTCTTGTTGTGCAATACAGGTCAGAAGGTCAGTTGCATTTTTTAGCTATTCACTTTTCTCACTTTTTTTTTTTTTACAATCTTAAGTTAGTGAGTACAAGTGTGTATTTGCTTTTCTTGAACTTAGTAGCAACAGTTATATTGCTAGAGATAAGGAAAAATGAATGCTGAAATCTGAAAGAGAAAAAAAAGTAATGATTTGTTCAAGTTGTTTCAATAAGACTCCATTCCTAGCTTTTAAGTTTCCAAAAATAACTTTTCGTAGCAAGTTTCTTGCTCTTTCCTTGTATGTGTTTCTTAACCTCACCCAGGAGTGCCAAGTGTTGTGCTACTTAGCCACATGTTCTTGTCTTGGATATTTTGTTTCTTCCCTTCATTTTCTCCCATGATTTCTTCCTAATTGCAGTCAAATAATAATGTAATCATTTGGCCTCCTTCTCATTCACATCTCCTAAAGACCTCCAATTCTTTGATATAAGGAGGCTGGAAAGATCTGAGACAAGTTGTGGAAATGAGAATTAACACCAGCTGCCAGAGTGACTGATAGCTTGTATTGTTTGAACCTTCCATGTTTAATTTTTTTTCCAGTGAAGCTTTTGTCTCTTGCTTATTACCATTCAAATGTATTTTAAAAATATTTTGTTCCTCTGTTCATGCTTTACCTTTTATTTCCTCTTTCTCCATTTAGTGTGTCTTTTCTGAGCATGGTCTTATAAGCACAATAGCTTACAAACTGGGCAGAGACAAACCTGTTTATTATGCACTAGAGGTAAGTACAGTAACTTCTTCCATTTTATGCAGCTTTGTTTTATAGCTTGTGTGCCTTTAGGCTTTTGTGTGGTTTTCTTATCCCTATCTCCAATCTCTATCAAGCAATCTAATACAAATATTTCTACAATGCATCATTTATATGTTCAGGGCCTGATGGCCAATGTGTTTTTTCTGTTACACAATCTTTCAAATCTTAAATAAATGTTATAAATAAAAAAATAAAAATTTACACTAAACTTGGCTTTAAAAAACAGGGGGGAAAAGCACTAGTATTTCAGTTATCCTCTGAATAAAATGCATGACTACCTGTCTTTGTTTTTTATTTGATTCTAATAAATTTACTTCTAACTTTTAAAAATCTAAAACAAGTTTCTGGCACAAGAATGCTCTAAAAATTGACCTTTTTTACCTACTAACCAATTAAGACTTATGTTCTGTTGTTGCTTAAATTTAGTTCCTCAGTTCTCTACACAACTCTGTGGGCATCCACATTCTGTAGAAAATTGGATTTTTAGTATAACTTAAGGTTTCATTGTTCTAAAGCTCTGCTTTTGAAGCACAGCAGCTGAGCAGCTGTTTGGCATCAAAGCTTTGTCTAAATCAATAGAATTATTCTTTCATCTCTGTTGCTTAGTGGGCTTGATCTAATAGTTATTCTGAAAACACACATACTGAATTCTCTGCTGCCATTATGGAGAGCCTATGCTTCCCATGTGAAACAAAGACAACTCATGGGATTTTCTTCACTGGGAGAATAGTTTGTGCCTTACAAACTATTCTACTTACTCAGATGTAGGAGGCTGTGTTCATTTCCCTTTCCTTCTCTAAGGAAAGTTGATCTTGCATTTTCTTGCATGTTCTGGCAAACTTTGGGGTTTTCATTGTGTTCAGGTGTGTAAGAGGTTTGTTTTATTTTTAACCCATGTTCTTAAAGCAAGAACTGGAACTACTTTGAGAGTGATTTGTATTTCTGCATGCTGAAATACATGCATGTGTACTTCTTCCTCATCTTCAAGTCTTTAATGATATTATCTGAAGAAAAAGCCTCAGGAGACGATAGTAAGTGTTTTTTTATCCTGTATCAATTCTGCAATTATTTACAGTCTGGTAATTGAGACAGTTTCCAGAGAGGCAATAAATACCACTTCAGCCTTTTCTTTTAAGCGACCCCATATCTTGTAACCGTAATAGCTAGCTGGTTAGAAAACACCCCTGCTCCTTCTAGCAGTGGCTTTGCAAGAAAATCTAATGCTGCTACCATTTTACTTGAAGCTTAGTCTAGTAGACTTGAGACTGTCTTATAGAGAAGTTGATTCGGACTTTGAGTGAGATGGGAGCCACGCCATTCATCTATGATATGATGGAGCCCTTCAGGGCCATTTGCTGAGGAAACAGATGAATTTTGCTGGCAAGTACAACTGCCCAATTTTTTTGTCTGTCTGGGAATTTGTACTGAGACTCTAGACATAATCAATCTTGCTTTTTTAAATTAAAGCATAAAAGTCCTAATTTGTCAGCCTCAGGAAAGAAGGCTTAGGAAATGTCATGGAACTCCCCTCCATTGAACAAATCATGTTAATAGTCACTTTTCTTACATGGAGCATGAGTAACAGGCTGCCGTTTTTACATGTCAGCCTCTAGCTGCCAAGAAACCTGTGGTTTGTTTATCAGCATTCTTGGGAGCGATTTAAGCTATGACTGTACGCCTGCAATGGGAGGTACCATTCCTCTTGAAAAAGGAACATGAACCTACCAGTTGTTGTCTCCTAATGTTGCAGTTATTTTATTTCCTTCAGGGATCTGTTGCAATAGCTGGTGCTGTTGTTCGTTGGCTGAGGGACAATCTAGGTATTGTTCAGAGTTCACAGGAAACGGGTGAGTATTCACACTTTGGAGCTGTTCAGTGTTTTTTCTTTTCCAATGTCTCAATGTTTGTAATGTTGCATGAAAGCTCAAAATATTCAAGTAAAGAAAAGCTGGAAGATGCCTGTATCTTGCTGTGTTTGAACAATTTGGTTTGCACCTGTGAAATCACTGTTTATTGATACATGTATTTCATATAGCCTATCAATAAGGTCCTTGAAACCCTTTGTCAGTTTTGTTCTATTGCTATGTGTACTTTTTTGTGCTAATGATATTATACTTGTGGTGTAATTCCTGGTTTCATACAATATTGAATTTTCCAGAGCCAAGAGTATTAAGTCACTGTTGTGAAACCCAGAGCCTATTTGATTCTAAACTTACATAGTCCTTCCTGTCATTAACATGAGAACCTGAAGCCCTACATATGGAATTATTCACATAGAAGGCTCCATATCTATTGAGTCAGGGACCACATTTGCAAAGCTGCCGTTTAAAGGAGTTGTGGAGGATGGTAATGTGTTTTGACTAAGAATATAGTAATCCTTCAGCATTTGGGTGGCTGATGTTTTCTGCTGGAGCTGAACTGAAACAAGCTGGTGTGTTACATTATAGGAACTAGGAATATATCAGACTTTGAAAAAGGAGAAAATACCAGAAGTATACAAGTGTAACAGTTTGAAGGTGACTGATGTGATGAGATTTAAGATTAAAAAGCAGTTAATTACACATTTAATAATTTGATATCTTATTCAAAGGCGTAAAAAGTTAGAATTCAATTTTATGTAAAACTTGGAAGACTAAGTAAAAACTAAAAAGGCATTAGTCTTTTTCTGTGAGAAAGCTTTGCAGATTACACAGAAGAATACAAACTACTGTCATGTGAATTAGTCAAGTGTTGAAACACTACAGTACCTGTTGGCTTCAAAAGTTTGACTTGACCTTTGGAAGGACTGAGTCTCGAAAACTTCAGTCTTGTTAGTGTTGTTAAAGTCACATGAGACTTTATTACCTCTTCCTGTTTCCTTGAATTTGTCCTTCCTTCTCCCTTCACTCCTTTTTTAAGTGGCATCTGTATGAAAGCATTATTTTAAAAGACTTTTTTGAATAAGTTTTCCTACTTTTTTTATCTATTGCTATGCTTCTGTCGTCAATGCAAAGAGAAGAAATTTAGAAAAGCAGAAAAAAAATACTTTCTTTTTATAGGAAGAGGCTTCACATTAGCATTATTTTCTTTGCAGTTCTAGATGTTCAAAATTATTTTTTTTTATTACAGATACTTTAATGTTATATTTTAATATTGAGAAGTTCGGATATCCAAAGTTATTAGTTGGATATTAAGAAACTTCACTCGTAGCTGGCCTTGTGATTATATACGTAAGCTGAAAATTTAGAACTCTAAATCCATTTGAAATTAATGGGAATTTAGTTCTTAACTCCCTTTGGTCTTGATCCAGTTTCACTTGCTTGCCTTGACTTAAACGCAAGTAAATTGTGACCTTTTGGACTGCTTTGAAGGTTGCATTCTTTACCCACAGGATACCCTTTGAATCCCTCACAGGATCTAGGCCAGAATTTTGAGTACACAGTTTTGGGTTTTGAGTTTGATTTTTTGTATTACATTTCCCACAACCCCCTGTGCTACATCTTCCATTCATATTGTTGCAAAAAGGACAATTAGTTAATGAGGAGCTGAGTGCCTGAGTTAGTTGTATTTTTTAATTGTATGTGGCTTGATTATTTTTGTAGCTACATAACATGTCCAGAGTATTTTCCATATTTAAATAACACCTTAAGTGTTATATGTGTTGGTACAGTTTTTTAAAGTAAGTGAAAACTGTTTTTGTGTATGCTTTAGAAAAAATGGCCGCAGAAGTGGGGACTTCTTATGGCTGCTACTTTGTGCCAGCTTTTTCAGGACTGTATGCACCATACTGGGAACCCAGCGCAAGGGGGTAAGGATCTGACTAAACACTGCATTTTCAGAGAGATTTAATTATTTTACAAATACTGTCACTAGTCCTTCCAGGTATGTGATTTTGTTCTTTTTGTTCCTTTATGGGTCTGGATACATAATTCTCTGCGGTATCTTCAACTACTGTGTTTCTCTTTTGTGTTTGATCAAAATAACAACTGCTACTTGGAGAAGAAGAATTAGCTAGTTTAGCAACTCACCCTCCTCTCCCCATTAAAAAAAAAAAAAAAAAAAAAAAAAAAGAAGGCAGGGAAAACATTTGGGTTGGGTTGTGCATTTCAGAGAAGTCTAAGATAATTCTGTCGTTCATGCCACTAACAGGGTCAGCTTTTTTCATCCACATATTTCTGGTTCTGAAAGGATTTTCATCTCACTGAAGAGAAAGAGGAGGTCTGCATACCTGTGAGCTCTCAGCCAGCAAAAACGTAGGAAGTGAAAAATTCAGTGCTGATGAGTTTTTCTGAGCTCAGTTTCCCATGGCTGCTGCATTCACAATCTAAAATGATACAGGCTTCTTAATTCCTCCACACTTATCCTCCCTTGCCTTCGCCTTATGCCCAGCTTTCTTTGCAGTCTGTTGAGCACTCTTTTGTCCTGTCTTTCCAGTCTCTTTCCTGGTTAAGATTTAACTAGCTGGTACCAGTTAGAGCTACTAGTTCAAATAGTAGCCTTGTATTTGTCTTTTTAGCTTTTCTGAGCTTGCGTACTGTTGTTGGAATCAAAACATGCCATGGAAGTCACAGAAGCATGACAAATTTAAGATACAAAATAAATTTCCTAAAATGAAAAAAATCCTAAAGAATATCTAGTTCCCAAGGTTTTGAGTAGTTGCATCTTTACAGTTTATATGCTTTTTGTAGATAAGAAAAAGAATAATCTTTTGAGTTACATGTTTTTCAGATCACAGAGCATAACTTTAACTGTTAAAAGCTGTTGTTTGGAATGGCAGTGACTAAAAATGTTCTTTAATATCTTTGAACTTGCATGTATCCAGCACCAAATATAGCAGCATTTCTGCATAGTACTACTATCCCTCAGATGTTGAACTGGAATAAAAGGATTATTATTTGCTCTGTAGTTCAGAATACACTGACAGATTTCAGCTTACTCATGGTTAGATGTAGCATCATTTCGATATCCAGAAATCTCTTTGAAGGTGCAGAAAAAGCTAATAATCAGTATAGATCTGAAAACAATTTTAATAATGTAGAGCATATAACTGATCTAGCTGGGCTTTTAATTAAGAACTGGAAGCACTAGAGAATTTATTACTGTTTTAGTGATAGGTGATGCTATTTTTTATAGAAAAATCAGCCTCAGTCATACATTTCCTTTTTTAAATGGAAGACTAGAATTTGGATGGGTGGGTGTGATGTGTTCCTGGGGTTTGGGGCGTCCATTTGATTAGATACTGAAAGTGTATTTGTCAGGAAAACAGGGATGAGAGAGTTTAGATTAAATACAAAAAAGTTTTTAATACTAAAATGTAGTCCTCATACATTGGAACTAATGAGCTTTGAATTAGAAGGCCTAGGTTTGAAGTAAGATTTTATGTCTGGTAAAGCAGTGTGTCCTAACTGGGTTGCTTTTTTCTCTTCAACAGTATTATCTGTGGCCTTACTCAGTTTACAAATAAAAAACATATCGCCTTTGCTGCACTAGAAGCGGTCTGCTTTCAAACACGAGAGGTAAAGGAAATTGGGTCCTAGACTCATAATTTAGTATAACAACAGGGACTGTAGCTTCTCAGGAAGAGAGAGAATTGAAAAGATTTAATGAAGTTTAATCACATGCTTTATATTGTACTTGGATGCTGCTTTTCCCTTTACATAGCGCTAATGTTGAAATGTGGTTCTTGTGAACTTAGCTACAATGATCTGGTTAGGTGGTAGATTATTTTGAGGTGGCAATCCTGCATTTTATCATCACTTGAAACAAGATTAACATATTTTGTGACTATTTTGAGAGGCTGAACATAGAAACGTTAAAATGACAAGGCCAGTGCCATAACTAAAAAGTTGCATTAGTTCTACAACATAGGAGACTACATTTTGTAGTTTCTCCTGTGACAGAGATGGCTTAAATTGCTTTTGGCATTAAAGAACAAAAATGAGTTAAAGCAAGACAGCAGCAAACATAGCAAGGGAAATATGGATCCACTTCTGGCCCATTGCAGCTTGTGTTGCCCTAGCCAAAATTCTGCAACAGCAAACCTAAATTCTTCCTGAAGAAATTAATCCTCCAGCCAGATCAAAGGAGTTGATATCCATATGTTCTAAGCATTCAAATCTTCTTTTAACCATTTCCTAGCAATTAATGCTGTGTTCCATACAAATACAGGAGAAAAATTAAATCACTAGACCCCAAAGGGTAACAGTAAAATCTTGATCTGAGTGAATGTTTTTAAACTGCTGATATTTAAACATCCTGAGTTTTAAAATAGTGCTCAGCTAAAACTGTGTGAGAGGAGGAAAGCAGCTTGCTGCTTCTGTGGTGACATAGGGACAGAAGTACTCATGTCGAAAAAGCCACAAATTTCACCCAGGCATCTGTGCTAGCAGTCTCTGAGTCCTCAGCAAGTTGTGAAGGAGCTTGGAATTAGCATTTATCTATAATTCTGATACCAGAAGTCAAGGTAAAGTTAACAGGGAACCAGACTGATACTGTAGTTTACAAGGTAAAGTTAACAGGGAACCAGACTGATAGTGTAGTTTGTCTGCTTCTCTCTTTCCTTTTCCCTCCTCCCTTCCATTCCCTCTCATGTGACAGTTGAATGAACTTTCCAGCAGAAAATTATCCCTCTTTTTGCTGGGCTATTTTTCTGCTGGATTAATGACCCCAGCTGCCTCACAGAGGAGTGTAACAAATGTCAGAATGAGAGACAGGGCATGTAGGAGGAGCGAGGAGACTAAAGCTTTCAGACTGTGTGATAATGAAGTTAACTGTTTGAACATATATATTACTTCCTCATACTTCAGTCATTGTGCTTTTATCATAATTACAGGAGTGCCTGATCAGATCTCTGGACACTCTTAGATTAACAGATTATGTCCTAGGGACAGACATAAATATATGTACATTTTTCAAAGACACATAGCTAGTTCTGTCTTGACAGAAACAAAGTCCTTTTGTTTTAATTCCGGTTAAAATGGAAGTATTTTTTTATTCCTCAGAAAATCCTCAAATGTCATGTTTGTTGGAGTTTTTACTTGTTTTTTGTCCCATGCAGTCCTTCCAAGTCTCTGTTCCTTGCTATCCGAAAAGCTCCTTCCTTGTTCACACAAAAGACAGTTGTTACATTTGTTCCTCCAGAAGGCATTATGGAAAAATAAACAATTTTTCAGTTAAAAGAGCTGTAAAGTGCTGTCATTAGGCAAAACTTTACCTGGATACCTTGCTCTTCATCCAACCTCAGTACCCTAGAGACAGCAGCAGCATTATTATGATTTGTTTTGTTCCTTCATCCTGTTTTCTAGCATTCTTTTCAATTTTTCATGTCTACATTAATGTCTTGCAGAGTGTTAAACAACGGCAGTGCCTCCAACATTATCTGTATGTAAAGCTGACAGTAGGATGCACTAATGAAGTTCTGAATGGTAAAAAAGGCAGGTGAAATCAGACAAATGTAAAAAAAAAAAACACGTGAAGGAAATTTGAGTGATGGGGGACAGTACAGTTAGTACTGCTAGTAAACCTTGCTGCTGTGCTATGAATCCTCTTTTCCAGGTTATTTCTAATGTATTGAACAGAGCAGGCCCATGGAGAGATCCTGCCACTATGAAAACTGAACAACTAATTTCTATATAGGTGTTACTATCTTACATATAATTTTTTGTTCTTTCTTAAAAAACATCAACTTTCCTCAGTATGGGTTCTATAATTGGGTGCTTTGTGAATCACATAACAGCACAGAATGTGTTGTAGTTTTGGTCTTTTTTGTGGTCTAAGTTGCTTTTACATTTAAAGCTGAGAAAAGTACATCTCTTTTGAATAAAAATTCAAATAAATTGAAAAATTGTGAAGAGAAAATCATTCTGCACTAGTTAATACTTAACTTTGGGGGAAAAAAAAAATATGTACTAACCTTAAAAAGTGTAAATGAGACATTTAATTGACTGCTTTTACAAAACCATAGAAAACCCCTGCTCCACATTTAATAGGTGCTTGTAGGATAATGCTGTGGTGTCGTCAATAGCTAAGGTTTAGGACAAATCTTATTTTTTTAGGAAACCCTCTAAAAAGCTTATTGGTAAGTGTCAGTGAATTAAATACTGCACTCTTATTTAATCTTCCCTTGCAAACACTTTTCATTTATTTTCAGCTATCTGCTGTACCCAAAAGAAGGAAACATAACTTTACAAAGAATTGCACTAAGTTTATTTTTGCAGTCCATCTTGTGATATGTAAAATTCTCAATATTAAATGATTAATTGAAAGCATTTCAGGAGGGTGCTCTTTCAAAACAGTTTAGCGTTCAGCAGTTCATATTAAAGCGTATTCCAGATCACCAGTTCAAACTTTATTTTCCAGATTTTTAATGCCTAACATTAGAGAAGGTAACTAGATACATGGTAGTCAGGTAAAATAATCTGTTTAGAATTACTTCTTCCTTTGTTAGCTTTGATAAATGCAGTTGTCATCAGCTTTTCTTCAAAATTCTACTTCTCAGACCATGAAAGGAAAGCATAAGCTAGATATAGAGCATCAGAGGAGAAACATCTTCTACTCTAGGATATCTGTTATAAATAGAAAGCTTTTGCTATGTACTAAACAAAACCTACCTCTGTTTTGCCTTCTTGATATATAGAGGAGGGGAATTATCTGCTTATACTTTTCAAGTAATGCTGACTTACAGTATTTTACACTCAGAGAGTATAATGGATTTCTCTGCAATTAAATCATAACATATATTACTCTTATTTAAGATTTTAGATGCCATAAATAAGGACTGTGGGATACCACTACATCAGTTACAAGTAGATGGAGGAATGACCTCTAACAGACTCCTCATGCAACTCCAATCAGACATTCTCAATATTCCAGTAGGTAAGGTGAAATTAAAAATCCCACTTTCTTTTTAAAGCTGAAAACAATATTGCTCTGTAATGGCTAATGAGGTCAAATTGGATGTCTTGCTTTGTTGATGTTGCTGGTCTTTTACTACTGCTTGAGAATGTTGGGTTTTTTTTCAGAAGTTTTTAGATATTGCACCCAGTTTTGAAGTTCACTTTTCTAGAGAATCACTGGCTTATTTCTTGTGTTGAAATACTATAGCACTGTAACAGTAGTGAACTTTAAAGTTTTCATATCAATTTCTAAACATATAACAATTCTAAAATCTGTGAAATTAATGCTCTTCTGCAAAATGTTGGCCCTGAAAATCTTGCTCAAAGGTAAATCAGAAATTTGCACCTCCACTGCTGTTGTTTTGCTCTTGCATTTCAGCAAATAGAAAATATCTTTTTTTCTTTTCCCTTTGCTTTTTTATTACATTTACGACATAAAAGAAGATCCACAAAATGAATTGTCCATTCTGTTTCCTCCCTCAGCAGCAGTGAAGAAAGGGAATAGAGGTTACAACAAAAGTGAGAATCTTGCAACCAGTTTTCTTGGCATGCACAATATGAAGTACAAACCCAAATGATGTGGTTCCTCTCTGAAGCAAATAAGCTCCTTAGAATAACAAAAGGCTTATTAGCCTTTTAGGGATATGTTTCAATACAGTAAAGCTAAAGCTCTTTAAAGGCCTCACTTTAGAGACCACACTTGAAACCTGAAGCATTTCAGTGTCAGTAAAAAAGTTGCATTGTTCTGAAGTCATACTTTAACACCTGTAGCAGATCCCAACTTGCTGAGTATTGTAAGCTATACATTAGCATTCTTAAGGATGAAAATGTTTGAAACCACTCTCCTTTGTCCTATCAGTGAGCAACTTTTTACAAGGGCATGTAGTGATAGAATGAGGGATAGTAGCTTTAAATTGGAATAGAGCAGATTTAGGTTAGACATTAGGAAGAAATTCTTTACTGTGAGGGTAGTGAGACACTGGAACAGGTTTCCCAGTGGAAGTTGTAGATGCTTCTTTCACGGAAGTGTTCAAGGCCAGGTTGGATGGGACTTAGAGCAATCTGATCTAGTGTGAGGTGTCCCTGCTCATGGCAGAGGAGTTGAAATTAGATGGTCTTCAAAGTCCCTTCCAACTCAAACCACTCTATGATTCTATGATGCAGTGTGTCACTGAGTAACATCAGAACACTATACATCTTCATCTGAAGACTGATTATTTGCTACATAAATATAATAATCTTGCCTAATATGCAGCTTCTAGAAAATAATTTGGAAAAGCATAATTATGTCTTTTATGCATAAACATGAGACACTTAAGTGAAAAAAATTTAACTCTGGAGATATTATAGCTTCCCTTTAATACAACATAATACACAAGGCTCATACTCTCTGTGTAGATGTATAGTTAGCAGATAAAAGGATATGATCAGTAAAATCAGATCTTAAAGCATCCTGTGCCTGAAGCAAAGAAGCAGGCAGTTCTAGAGTTAATGTTACAAGTATACCATTGACATCTTGGGGGTGGTATGGTTTTCTGTAGCATCTGTGGAAGGCAAACAAGCTGGTAAGTACAGATGCGTAGCCTCTTTTAAGATGCCTTTTCTAAATATAAATGCTTTTAATAACACAACATCTAGAGCATCAAAACAAGACTAATAACTTAGGCAGAGATCACAGCTTTGGGGAGGGAGAAGACAAAAAACCCCAATATATTATTAACAGGAGTACTCTTTAAACAGATGGTTGTGGTCAGAAACCCTGCACATATTGTAAAAAATGGACAGTTGCATGGTTCAGTCTTTAAGGAAGTAGTGATCCAATATATTTCAGGTGGTGACTTGTAGGTGAAGTTAGCCTCATACCCGTGTGAATGGCAATAAAATGAGGTTTGCAGTTGGTAAACTTAAAGGCAACATATACCAGTTATAGAAAATATATAGCATTCTAGATATATACATAAATCTTCAGTTTTGATGTCATCAAGGTGAATTGCATTAAAAATCATCATGGTCTTCTCTGTGACTTACTTCAGTAAAGCCATCAATGCCTGAAACAACAGCTCTAGGAGCTGCTATGGCAGCAGGAGCTGCAGAAGGAGTTGGAGTTTGGAGTCTGAATCCTGGAGATTTGACAGCAGTGACATGTGAACGATTTGAACCACAAATCAACCCAGCAGGTAAAAAACTTTCATATTATCTAAGAACTTACAAACTTAGTATTTGATGACCAACAGAATGGGTTTTTACTTTGTTGCAGTCTAACATTCTGATACAAGAACAGCAATATGTTAATATCCTCACAAGTGTTGAAGATCACTTTTAGTGTTTATAGTTTTGAGAAAAATGCATTTCACTTGATGTCTTGTCTTTTATTGACTAGGAAGATTATAAAATGGTTAAAGCAGCATAATTCCACAAGGAAATGTATTGGGGGTTTTTTATTTCTTTTTGAAAGAAGATTGGCATTGTAGTTAGTAGCTTTTGACTTATAGGGAGTAAAATCAAAGAAATCTTGAAAGGTTTATACTGAGAATAATGTGTCCTAAAGGTCCTGTGCATTTGTGATTTTTCACAGATGTAGAAAGGACAGAGTGTCTTATTTTTCGGAGACTTTTCTTTTGATTATGAAAAGCCTAATTGTTAATTGTTTTTTAGCTAACTTTTTCATCAGTTCTTAAGTGCTTCTAGAGATGGAAAGCATGTACTTGACATAATTAATCCATGTGCATATTTTTCTTTTCAATTGTTCCTTAATTTTTGCTACAGAATTTTTTCTTACCGTTTTGATTATACTTACTGTTGTAATCCCTACTTCAGTACAGTATTTTCAACACTGAAGAGCTTCTACATTAATAACAATTGCTTCCTGTTGTCCTACTTGTAAATCTTATTAGTGAACATGCAGGAAATAGTTTTTTTTAAAAGTTTATTTCTCCCTCCTGTGCTTAAGTGTGGGGTTTGGGGTTATTTTGGTTTGATTTTTGCATTCAAAACAGCATTTTATCGTACTTGTTTTGTGCAGACAAACTATACTATGCGAAAGAGTGGAGAGCTTGTATTGTAGTGTTTCCTTCTTGATACTTGTAGTTTTATTCAAATGCATTGAGAGGCTTTTCTGTTTGTTGATTTCTAAATTTCAGAAAGTGAGCTTCGCTATGCCAGATGGAAGAAAGCTGTGGTGAAATCTATGGGCTGGGAGACATCTGAGGCTCCTTCAAATGGTAAGTCAGAAATTAATGCAGCTCAAGGATTATTAACTAGCCAGTTAGCATAGGTAGTCAATCTTACATTTGGTGGCCTTTTCTTCTTATACCATCCCTGGACTATTCCAGTGATATAAAAATTATTACTTAAAACCACTGTGGAAACAAAGCAGTAAAACAGGTAGTTATATCTTCCTCTTGAAAGAACAGTACAAACAGTATCTTGTATGGCTTAAAAAATGGAGGACATGAAATCAAGACTAACTGCAGGTTTTGCAGAATAGCATTGTAAAGAAACAAAAAAATCTTACCAAGAAGAAGAGATACAGCACAATTCTTAGTGCAGGGATTTCATAAACTTTCTTATACTAAAACCTCATGTTCCAAAGAAGAAAAGTTTCATCCTGTGTTTATTTCTTGCTATGTCTTGCTTTTATTATTCGCTGTACAGGAAGGAAGGATTGATAGCCACATCAGTATCTGTTTTGATTCATGAGGGCTAAGAGCAAGAAGTTATCATAAAGTGCAGATTTGAATAGACCTATTGTTCGAACACAGAGAATATGCAAACACTTTTGAGGGACTGAACAAGAACTTTCTTTTTTAAGTAGAGGGCTTTTTCATCTGTCAGGTTTGAATTAAATAAAACCTGCAGTCTTGAATGATCTGGATGATTTGGATTTATATTTCAGCACTATTTCAGAATAACTTTTTAGTCCTGAATCATCATACAACACATCATTTGTGGAACTTAAGTTTATCTCCTTTCCCTTTTGTTGGAAAAACTACTTGAATGAAGTAAAGAATCCTCAAAATGTTAACTCCCTCAAGAATCCACAGTTGCAGCCCTCAAGCTGCATGAAGTCTCTTGCTTTATTCTTGAAAGTTAAAGTTTTCCTTTTACTATCCTTTATATTGGTATAAGTGTTTAATTCAATGCCATGGTTATACAGACAATTCTCTTAAGGCTATTTGGAAGGGAAATAGGTAACAAGATTCACTTCATGTCCATTATGATTTAGTAGCCTGACATATAAACTCTTTGTTTTGTGTCCTAAAATCCCAAGTGCTTGATGTGTGTCTTACTTACATATCTTTATTTACTTTTGAAGGATAGAAAACTATGCCTTGCAGAAAATAGAAATAGTTCTTCAACTCATGTGAAAAGTTTATCAAAACTTACCCTCAGTGATTATCTGGTTTAATACTGAGAGGGAAATGTTATTTTCCTTAGTACTTGCTTTGAAACCTTGTCCTGTGTCTGCTGAGAGTATTTAAGATGGAAGAAAGCTAGGAGTTGGCTGAACATAGGTAGTGCTAACAGTGGAATTTGGATTTGAACTTCTATATTCAGAGCCTGTTTTGAATTATTGTGGGGGTTATGCATAATCTTTTTTAGTTTTTCTGCAAATGTCACTACATCTTTTACTTTTTTCTGTTGGTATGATTTTTAACACATATATATTGCAATTTATGTATATATTTCTCTTTTGATTTGCTTGACTGGAAACACCCTCCCCTGGATGACATCAGGTGACACTAGTATCTTCTGTAGTCTGCCTTTGGGTTTTTTTATTATGAGTAGCATGATAATGTTAATCGGAGCAAAGTACATCTCAGGTTAGTTATTATTTGAACTAGATCACTTTAATGGCTTTCTACACTAGTTTAAGTGTTGGGTTTTTTTGTATTCCATCTGCTTATTTCTAGCAAAAATGACTGATGCTTTTTGTTGTTCATGCACACGGGTGTTTGAGAGTTTTAGTTAGACATAAGGTACTTAAGGAAACAAAGTGAATGCCATCTCAAATTCATCTTCATGTGCCATGAAGTTAGTAATTGTTAGATGCATGTGAAACCTTGAACTGACCTCTCCTTTTGTCTAGCTATTCAGACTGGACACAGTTTATAAAATGTATATGTTGGAGCAGCTTGGCAGAGTTGTGCATTGCCTGCATTACAGTGTGCATTGCGATTAGAGTTAGGTTCCATCCTTTATCCTGTGTTTCATCTCAAAATATTTCAAATTATTTTGAGGATCTTATTTTAATAATGTGAAGAATTTTCTTCCATCCCTGAAAGGCTTCATGCACAATTTTCATTTTTCTAATCCTCTTGAAACTATTGTATCGTTGGAAATCTTCATCTACTTAATCTAGAGAATATTCTTTTTGTACTTTGCTCTTGATGGATAAGTGAATTCATTTTCTGTTAAGAAACCCTAAAAAGCCTATCTGCAAAACCAGAAAAAGGGACTGTGTGCATATGCAATGAAGATGCATCCTCAAACTATTAATATATGTTTTATTTTAAAATAAAGTTCTTAATATGGATGACAGTGTTAGATACTTATGCCAGAAGCAAGACATTTCGTTCTTATGGCAAGAAAAATAAGTTTATATGGTAATGTCATTTGTTCTTTGCTTTTGTGTTTCCTAATTTAATTCCAACGAAAATATTTTACAGTATAGCCACTGTTGCTGCTTAGTAAGCTTTTGGGGGGTGGTTGTTTCATTTTCTTTCTTTGTTTTTGTTTTGGTGGGATGGGGGGCAGGGTGCTAATTAAACAGACAGTTGAGGACTCTAGCATGCTTCTGTGATGATGTGTTTGTATTTTGTTTCTACTCATTCAGCTTGAATTAACTATTCAATTGTAATTTTCCTTGCATGGAAGAGACTGAACTTGTAGGAGAATTAAAATCAAGCTGAACAAATGCTAGCCAAAAATCAAACTGAACAAATGGATTGGCATTTATTTACTAACTGAAATGTATCTGCGAATGAAAACAATTTTACAAAAAATAAAATAAAAACAACTATGAATAAGGTGGTAAATTTTTAACAAGCTGAACTAAGCAATCTGAATATTAACTCCAGGTCGGGTTCTTCACTACACAGGGGATATCTCAAATAGTATGAAAATCAATGTCAAGTGTGCAGATAGGCAACCTGAAACTCTGGGTTTATTGTTTTTTAAAAAAAACTAATCAGTAACCTGCATATAAATAGCTAAACTTCCAGAACAGTGCTGGAATTCATAAAAAAGTATGGGTTTTTTTCTCTCTCCCTAAGCTTGTCAATGCCTTTCTGACCTGCAAGTGGAAAACATATTCATCTCAACTTACTCTGGCCTTCAGAACCCCTTCTTGCCCTTTTTTTCAGATAAGAGTAATTTTTTATATAGTTACTGTTACTATCTAGTATATTATCATTACATATATACCAATACAGTTGTTATATACACCAACATATCTACATATTATTTACATGGTAAGCTTGGGAACAGGAGAAGTTGCAATACATCTCCAGCTCTTATTTGTGTTAAAAATTGTATCTAAAATGGAGTAGTATCAGTGATGCTATGTACAGGTTGTAGTTTTGCTCAGCTGTGTGTTAGGGTAAAACATGGCATATAGTATTGGTGCTGCTGTTTGGAGTAGGGCTGCTTTCCAGTAGGCATTTACTCTGATAAATATCCTTTTGCTTTTAAAAGCCGGAACTATCTGACCAGATTTTCCTTCTAACTCCAGCATAGGAACTCCATTAATGAATTTGTTACATTTTATCTTTTAATGAAACACTGGAACTCCAATATAGTATTCACTATATTAGGTTTGAGGATTGAGGATTTATTTCATCTTTCATGTGCAGAAACAGCAGTAAGTCTTGCATGGCAATAGTTCTGTTGTTGAACATGTCTCTGCAGGGCAGGGCCATGATTTTACAGCTACTGAAATGCAAATGAGAAATCTGCTGTGGCAGAATAGAGAACACTAATGTGGCAAAAAAACATTTGACAGAACTGCTAAACTAACTGCCTTTTCATGCAGCACCTGATGACTGAATATGAAGCACAGTACTGTATTTTGTTATTTCATACTTTCATCAAAGTTAGGTCAGTTACTTGTACGTTATTTTATGATCTTCATTCTTCTCTCCCAGAGAAGTAAGGGCCAGTATCCTCTCCCCTCTTCTCCCCTCCTCTTCCCTCGTCTCCCATCCCCTCTCAAGCAAGATGTATGTATAATGAGTTTTTATGCCAAGGTTCTGTTACATTTTTCACACGACTTTTGGAAGTGGGCATCTGTGAGATTTTAACATACTTGGTAGCTAAACTTTTCTGGGGAGTGGTGGTTAACTGGAAGTGATACTATATTTTATTAGATTCATATTTAAAGAAATGCCTTTGCATATTTAAATTGGCGCCGCTCTAGTGAGGTAGAAGTGAGGATCGGCTGTATATGGGATCTTATGTGACATCTGACGTATAAAGTTCTTTGACTTTGTTGTCATAGAATAAGGTTTAAATGCTGATGGTAACACAGTATTCTTCCTGCTTAAATACCCTTTGGGTTTGGGTTTTCTTTTCAGATTCTGTTTTTCCCTTTAGGGGCTTTAAACGGGTGCAACCAAATTGCATACTAATGTACAGATAGCAATCATTATGCATTTCTACACATTAGTTGCAACAATATTTCCCAAATTTCTGAAAGCTCAGCTCATATTCAGGAAAAGAATGCTTGGGTACCTTCCTTCAGTTCTACTTGTTAAAGATTTACCCATCTTAATAGTGTGGTCTCTTCTATCCTACTATATGCACATCCCACACACTGAAGTGCTGGCTTGTCTGGTGTCACAAGATGCATCTAATTTTGTCACGGTTTGACTCAGGATCAGCAATTAAACCAGCAACAACAATGTTCTCTCCTTCCCTACCTGGGTGGGAGGGGATTGAGAGCATTATTGTCACTGGTTTAATTGCCAAAAAAAAAAAGTCAGAAAAAGGAAAATTGGCTTCTTCCTGGCTCAAACCAGGACAAATTTATAATTGCATTAATAGAAAACAAAAGATGGCTATACTAAATTCCACCTATGGCTCAGCAGTACTATAGAGTGTTATTCATATTTTAGAGTAAATTCAATGTTACTAATGCACATTCTTTCTTATTTAAGGTGCTGGTAAATGAGACTTCTTGATGGACTCTCTGGATGCAGCTGACTTTTTTGTTTCCTTTTGATTTATTGTTGAAAGAGATTCCACCACCAATGTGATTATACTACTTGTGTGTCTTAATCCATTCATTAATCCATCTGTTGCCAGTCCCTGAGTAACCTCCCAGTGGTACACTGAAACTTAAGTCTTCAGACTTAAGTCTTCTTACTCTTCTCCCTTGCCCATCTACTCTAGCGGTGCTGGAGGCCTTCACATGGACTATCTCGCATCATCTTCTAAAATTTCACAGGCCCTAGCTGTGTTTGAGAAAGTTGGTATAAAAAAATCCTACAACTTCTGAGGTAATGTCAGGTTTTTAGTTATTCTGTTCAAGGCTTTGGTACTTTATACAATACAGTTCAGAAAGTTAATGATGCACTGTAGAACTTTGTTAGCATCTTACAAGTCTTCCAGCTGCTGTGAATTACCTATTATATGCCTATGGTTGCCAAAGATGTTTTATGATAGTGACCACTGGTCTGAAACATCTTAAATGGTACAAACCTTTTAAACACTAGCTCAAAGTGTATTATCAGTAGCACACGTTGCCACTGGTTTGGCAATTAAGAGGTTGCTGATAGTTCCACAGAGTGCTGTTGAAATGTTTAATCACAAAGTTTAAAGTTTGGTTTAGCTTCTGGCCTGTGTAGTCAGTTTGCCCATTATAAGTATTTAAGACACTAAGTCCTGTTGTTAGAGATAGGAGAATATAGATGTTTTGGTTAAGGCCATGTTTCATGTTCTCATATGTCTGTGTTTGGAAAGACAAATTTAATATAGCATGCTACTGACAGACAGCTTCCTGGTCCTCCGCAACTGGTAACTCTTTAAACTACTCTGTACAATGCACTTTTCTTGACCAATACTGCGTATGTTCTGTCACCCTGCTTAAGAATATTTCAGTGACTATTTGTTAAACATTTGAAAGTTGAAGCTAACTTTAGTTTTCCTTAAAAAGGGTCCACTCCAAATTGAATACCAGTGCTTTTGTTCTTGATCTCATTTAGTGTATCTTAGTGACCAAAATCTCCCTTTCGGTTTCCATGTCCATAGTTTTAACAGCAAGTTGTCACAAAATATACTGAGACAACCCAAAACACTGACTTGGAAGAGTAAGCACTTGGCACCTGAAATGGGCCATTGGAATTCATAGGCAACATGTGTGACAACTGAGTTGCATCCAGTTTGAAACTTTTTGTCCTTCACAGGTAAAGGAGTGAGACAAATAATCTTACCTTCAGCTTTCTTGTTGGTCTACCAACAGCATGACAAGTGCCAGCCTGACTGGTTAGGTCAGAGAAAATGTGTTCTTCTGTAGAGTCATTAGATCAGTAGAGAATGCTAGCATGGTTACATGTGGGAACAACATGCAGAATTTCAGTGTCTAAATGCACTAGGAGCTAAAGGGAGCCCTTTTTGTTTGTTCTTGTAGATTTTTGTCTTTAAAAAATTGTCTTTGACAAAATTGTCTTTAACAAAGTTTGATTTTCTTTGTTAAGATAGGATTAGAAGCTTAGTTTTTTAAAAAATGTTAAATATGCGTGTTTCTGAAGCAATGGATTGCACAGAAGTTCAGGTTTGTACACCATGTTTAATATCAAATGCATATCAATTGCCTTTTTATTGTCAAGTGCAATGACCTTTAAAAATGTGACTTTTAACTAAGAAGTTAGAGAAGGAACCTTTTTCATCCTGTGGTTGCATGTGTAAATTCTACAGAGGGGATTTTGTGCACAGGTGAAAATACAACATCATTCAAATCCTGTATCTCATAAATACTAAAATGTCAGCTGTGACAATGAAAATTGATGAGTTTTCCAGTTTGTATTGGAGAGGTGAAGAAAGAGTGAAAAATGAATGTGTACCCATAGAAAAATCTGGATATTCCTTACCTTTACTTGGACCTGTTGCTGATCCCACCTTACCCCAAGGAACAGAAGCAACAGCAGCCTTTGGAGCATATGCAGCAGCAGCAGCACACATCACAAATACTGGACTTCTGAGTACGACCTCTTGCCAAAAACACTGAAGCACTGAACGTGGGAACGATTAATGTTGAAGTGTTGCCTTTGCCAGGGATGTGTGTGGTGGGGGTAGAGGTGACACATACTATGTAGGAAGGAGAATTTTTCCTGCTTTTCCAACTTGTCTTTTACTGGGAAACATTATCCCAGTTACTTTTTCAATGAATAAAAATCATTATTTTATTTATAATTGCTGTTGCAAATATATTTTAAGAATTTCACACCACTGTTAACTTTCTACCAACATAGTTGAAATATGTTGTTAACTGTGTGTTGTTCAAACTGTTGAAAGTTAGCTTTTTGAGAAGCTGTGATTTATTTTTTCTATAAATTACCTGATTTATAAGTTCTTAAAAAAATGCATTAAATTGATATTAAAATACCATAAATTAATGGATGAAAGCTGTCAGTTTATTCTTGCACATTATCTTTCAGACACATTTTCATTAATGTTTTTTACATAATGCATTAATACACAGTGATGAAGTACCCTCTTTTAAGTATCACAGACACATACTTTAACATGCTCAAATATACAGATTGAATCCAAGCAGTACTGCTTCTGCTTTTCAGTGATATATTCAGTTTCAAGGACTAGATTAGAAATTGCATTTCCTCAAATCCTTCCATAATGAGGAAAATGTGGGAAAACACAATCATAGAATCACAGAACTATGCAGGTTGGAAAAGACCCTTGTGATCACCAAGTTCAACCATCATCCCTGCTCTACAAAGTTCTCCCCTAAATCACATCCACTAACACCACATCCAAATGACCCTTAAACACATCCAGGGATGGTGACTCAACCACTTCCCTGGGCAGCCTATTCCACTATCTAACCACTCTTTCTATGAAAAAAAATTCCTAACGTCCAGTCTAAACCTCCCCTGTTGCAGCTTGAAGCCTTTCACTCTTGTTCTGTCACTAATGACCTGTGAAGAGAGACCAGCACCAACCCCTCTACAATGACCTTTCAGGTAGTTGTAGAGACTGATGAGGTCTTCCCTCAGCCTCCTCTTCCTCAAACAACAAAAAGAAGCACAGTCATATTATAGGTTTGATCTGAAAGTCTCAAAAGAATATCAGTTGGTGGGGCCTTTAGGCTGAATGATGTATTGCTCTTTTACTGTCAACTGGTGATTGCTACAGATGAAAAAGCTTTTCTGAGTTGGGGGAAGAAATGTTAATGGAATAAAAAAACATTGCTGGGGGCACTAGAAGGAAGCATTTAGTGTTTCTATTATCTGATGAAAAAAGCATGGGGGTCTGTGTATGGCAGGTGCATATGTGGAGTGTGTCTGCCAGAGTCTGGTTTGTTCTGGTTCTACAGGGCTCCTGATTATATTCTATACCTCTAGTGCTGCATAATTAAACCAAGGATATAGCCTTCATCCATAGTCTTTACAAAGTCTTTATCCCTTATATCAGAATCAGTGTGAATCAGAAACACACCCACCCTCAAAAAAAAAAAAAAAGCGGGGGGGGGGGGGGGGGTGGGGCTGGGAGGGCATTAAAATACCATATCATCACAGAAACCTTAGGTAACATCTTGCTCATTACTCAATAGCAGACAAAAGCTAACACAGTGTCTAGTCTATTATTTAAACTCTATGCAAACCAGCTTTCTAGTATCCATATAAGCATCCAAAGAATCCTACATGTGTAGCTACTGGAACGCTGTCCAATTAAGAGCTGTAACACGTGCCCAGTATGTTTGAGGGGGTTTTTAATTATAACTGGCTAGCATTTGCAGAAGTAGTACTTTTCAGTCCTGGAGATAAGGGCAAGCAAATGAGTAGCAGCCCTTTAAAGCTCAAACCTTAAAAAATAACTTTGAGGGAATTATTTTTCTATGCTGTCCAGATGGACCTCGAAAGGCTGGAGAACTGTCCTTACAGAAACCTTGTGAAGTTCAGCAAGGGGAAGTGCCATGTCGTGCCCCTGGAAGTAAAAGCCGCATGCACCAGGACATGCTGGGTGCAGCCCACTGCAAAGTGTCTTTGCAGAGAAAGTCCTGGGGGACCTGGTGGACATCAAGTTGAACTTGAGGCAGCAACTGCAAGAAGGCCAATGGTGTGTCACCAGCAGGTCAAGGGAGACAATCCTTCTCTTTTAGTCAGCCCTGTTAAGACACATCTGGAGTGCTATGTCCAGCACTGGGAATACCAGTATGAGAGAGGGACACGCCAGAGTGAGTCCTGTGATAGGCCACAAGGATGGTTAAGGGACTGAAGCATCTGTCATATGTGAGAAGCTGAGAGATCTGGGACTGCTTAGCTTGGAGAGAGCTCAGATAAAATTACCTGACACAGGGAGTGTGGAGATTTGAGCACCTGTATCCACCACAAAGGTAACTGGACCAAGTCTCCTTTTGAATTTTGGGTTAATCTTAGAATATTCTGCCAACCTTGAGGAGGTACATTCATTTTGGAATCTAATTTATTTTCTTTTGGCCAATCGTTTTGGTTCCCAGGTATGTTTTCCCACGATTTTCCTGGAGTAGTTACCACATTTTCAATTTCTATTGCATTGCCAATCTCCCCTTTCTCCTCCGTCTGTCTTCTGTTTCCATGTTTGCCTTTAACAGAGGGA